TTTGCTAGGCTACCAGAGTAGCCCGGGGTCACTTGCCCGGCCGGGCCAAAATAATAATAATAATAATAATTTTCATTTTAAATTTTTATTCTAAATTTGGTGAAGAATTTCGATGTGACCGTGAGGCAAAAGTTGCTCAGTTTATTTTTCTGCATAACATAGTTTTTTTTCGGATTTTTTTTTTTTTTTTTTCTCTTTTTTGCTGGGGCCTTCCCTGGTCCTTGCACGGGCTGGCCACCCGGCACCCGGGCGGCCCGGCTGGTAGCCTAGCTTCTTTTTTGCTTTTTTTGGCTTTTTTTGGCTTTGTTTTTTTTTGGCGATTCCCCTTCTACTTCTTTTTTTTCCCGCAAAATTTCATGGATGCCATCAACGCATTTGGTGTCCTCACAGTCAACCCGCTGGAAGAAGAAGAAGAAGTCGGCCATTGCCAATCCCATTCGACAAGTAGAGTAAGACCGAAGAAGAAGAAGAAGAAGAGTGAAAAACTCAGTGGCCATAGACTGCTTCTCGCACACGCATCGACAAGATATTTCAATACTTCTCCGCCCGCATTGACATGTACAGTTCTCAGTTCAAAACGCGCAATTTCCCCGACGCTCGTTTCGGCTAATCAGCCTGCGCTCCTGGCACTCACTCCTCAGGGGGCTTCTCCTCAGATCCGCCTTCCGGGACCACCACCCAACTTCTTCTTCTTCTTCTTCTTCTTATTCTTCTTCTTCTTCTTCTTCTTCTTCTTCTTCACGCTTCTTCTTCTTCTTCTGCTGCTGCTGCTGCTGCTTCTTCTGCTTCTTCTTATCACGAAGAGTAACAAGAGTCGTCCAAAAAAAAATGGAAAACCCAAAAAAGGTGTGAGCAGGACGAAGAGAACAAAAGAAGAGGAAGAAGAGAAGGAAGAGGAAGAAGAGGAGGAAGAGGAAGAAGAGAGAGAAGAGGAAGAAGAGAAAAAGAGGGAGAAGAGAGGAGGACGAGAAAAAAAAAGAGGAGGAGGAGGAGGAGGAGGAGGAGGAATGGATGACGAGGCGGATAGGCCAAGGGGAAAGACAGCTTACCCGCATGGTCGGGTCCTGCTTGTCTTCCACCGAACATAACGCATCCTGATCATGCCTGCATACGACCGGAAAAATAGCCTGTATACATTCCTGATGATCAGGAAGCGTTGTGTTCAGGAGGGAGGGAAGAGTAAGGGCATGCCCTTTTTCTTTATGACTTTCGGACATAATCGCAGTCAGGTACATCCAGGAAGGGCCATCCTTGCGGTCAGATACATCCAGGAAAGCCCTACTGTCATGTGAGCATACCCTAAGACAGCGGAGATTAGAAGAGGATGAAGAATTGCGGGAGAATGGTGGGGCGAGGAGGGAGAATGGTGGGAGAATGGAGGCGGGAGGAGGGGGGAATGGGGGGAGACTCACCTTGTCCCGCCAATCCAGCTTCCGCAATACCCTTTCTGACCAATGGTGCACAGGGTAAGGCAACGGAGGCGACAGAGGACCGGGCTCTGTTCGATAGCGAAGGGAGAGAGCGCGGGGGGGCGGGGGGGGGAGGGCGGCGGGGGCAGACACTTCACACAGTGACACGTGTGACATGGAGGACCGACGTGGCACCCTCGTGCCTTCCCCGAGGCGGCGAAAATACAGCGCCTGGAAGGGTGAGGGGCCTTTCCTGAACCAAAGGAAGGCCGCACCTGGGGGCTCGTGAAAAACGGTCGCTGACGCCTTCTCATGGCCTTTTGGGTTTGGGGGGCCTCTGAGTCCTTCACATGGCCATTTGTGTTTGTTTTTTCAACTTTTTTGGTTGCTGTTTTTTTTTCGTTTTTTGTTGGAAAATTTGTCTGGAGCCCCTGTAATTTCCATTATACGGCCCATTTACCCTGTCGCTCCCCTCTGACCACGATTCAAATTCCCCATAAAACCCCGGTCTCGGTTGGCCCTGAAATATTTTCGTTATGCCCCTACCGGTACTCTTTCCAAATTTGCAGTATGCCCCTACCGGATTGCTGTTGAGTACCAGCACACAAAAAATCATTTTTTTTTTTATTTTTATTTTTTTGGAAAAGTAAGGAATCCTTTTTTTTTTTTTTTTTTTTTTWTTTAARRAAWCCATTAWCAWRAAACCATGAGGCCGGGGGTTTAAACRCAATTAAAAAAAAAAAAAAAAAAACCAACAACAACAACAACATGAGGCCGGGAATCCCTCACAAACAACCCGAAAAGGAAACAAGCGATCCTGGGAACAATTCCCAGAGTAAAACGTGGGTTTTACCCCAACAACACTTGGCAGAGCCATAAAAGCAAAGGTCCGGCAGGCTTAGACTTGCCGAAGAACAACCGGAAATAAACAGACCAAACGTCACAGCAAGCAAAACCAAAATAAAGAGCAAGTAAATAAGGGCGAATCTAAACTAACCTAACCTTCTATCCGGGGTAAACCCCCCTCCAAGGAGCTCTGACTAAACCGTCAGAGTTGATCTAGGTCCGCCTACTTCTGGGCGCTCTCCAACCCTTTCAGTCCCTCTTTCTTTCTACTGTGGAAATTGACAACCGAGTGCCCTGGTTGGTCCCTTCCCTCTCCTACCCCCAATCTCCTTGACCTACCCTCCCTTTCGTATCCAATCTGAGAAGGCCAATGTTTTGTTATCCTTTATTGACACAAGACTGCTTCTACTTGCCCACGTGTTATCGAACCATCTTCTACCCTGTCTGCTATCAGCCGTCCTCAGCACTTTCCTCCTCCAATCCGCTACGATAGCATTTCTTATTTGAAGTCTGAACATGTTCACCTGCTCTCTATCCTCTACATCCTCTGAGTCAAAGACCTGCTTATTTCTTCTGGCCCAAATGACCGCGAACCCAATGGCCCGTGTCACTTGAGCTATGTATCCCCATCCTTCATCCAACTGGAGGTTTTGTGGGACTCCCCCCAACAAGGCCCACAATTTGTCCCACTGAAGAGCATTTTTCGACATTTGAGCCCAAGATTTAGACCACCACTTCCAGATTCGAGTTGAGGTTGGGCAATCCCACCAGAGGTGGGTTGCAGACTCGTAGGCCCATTGACACCTTTTACAGGTAGCATCTATATTCATACCTCTGTCTCTGAGCCATACTGTTGATGGAGTGGCTAACAGCGAGAGAAGCCAACTTGAAGGGGTAACTGCAAGTCTCTGTCCCGGCAAGACATAGAGTTGTTGCCAGCACCGGAGGGCCGCTCTGATAACGAACTTTGAATCTACATAGAGCACCTTCAACCATTTGTCTGCTGCAATCGTCTGGGGCGATCTTGATATATTTTGAAGATAATACCCCAGTCCGATCGAGTAATCCAACACCGATAAGTTTGAGTCCTCTTCACCTCTCCCTCTCCAATACCATTGTTTCGGGTCCACTCTACTTTTTGTAAGTGATTCACTATTTCCTCATAAGGATACAGACCACACTCCTTCTTCGTTACATGTTTCCCTTACTATGACTTGTGCCAAAACCGGTGATGGTCTGAGGGGTTGACCTTCATCTTCAGCAAGAACCAAATGTGTTGCAGCCTGGTTTGTTCCTCTTCGCCATAGTTCAAAACTTCGACCTTCTTTCTCATTATAACAGGTAAGTTTCCAGAACTCTTCACTGACTTGGGCCGTCTTGTCTGTGTACCAAGTACCTGGGGGGTCCAAACTCCATGGGTCAAGGATGGACTTCCATGAGTCTGGGATGGCTTTTATAATTTTTGCAAGTTTCCCTTCCACCCGCTTGTGGTTGCCCTGAGCCAAGTCTGCTGCAGACCGCCAATCTTTGTTGAATTCATCCCATATATCCCTTATCCGAACAAGTCCTTTCTCTATCCAAGCCCTTTCGAAGCTGCCTGATTTTCTGTCTGCAGCCAGCCACCTCCCGTCACTGTCCTTAATCAGAGGGTTCTCAAAGATAACCTGCATTAGGACCTCTTGCTTCGTTACGGCTTTGTCCACTTATCCAGTTTGACTTTCCTCCAAACCTTCAATATTCTTGTCCACAGTTCAGAGCATATCGGCCGGCGTAGATACGAGTCAATGTTAATGCAGGCCCAGACATCCTCCCTTCTACTCAAATGCCAACTTTTCATCAACAGTCTTTCCTCTAGTAACACCCAATGTTCTTCCTTGCTTGCTGCTAGCGCTTTGGGTATCCAGGCTGCGAGCATTGCCATATTCTGCTTGCCTGGGTCTTTCAGCCCCAGACCTCCTTCTTGTCTGTTGTGGCAAATGATATCCCACGCAACTTTCGACATGAACCCTTCAGACTCGGAGCCACATGGTTTTCAAATGAATCTTGTTGCTCTTCTCCGCACCACCATTCTCGCCTTGGTACCCAGTGGCCGCACCCTTCCAACATATCAGAGGAGTGCAAACAAGGCCACATTTACAACTAATGCTCTCCCCATTAACGAGAGGTGAGAGACTTTCCCCCATGTTGTCAACCGGCTCATAACTCTTTGCTGCAACAATTCATCTTGGTCGCCTGCACATAAAAGGAGTGTCACCTGAACCCCCAATAAGCGTTCAGACTGATTGGCTTCGACCCTTTTCATTCTCCATTGTACCTCCAATGAATACGACTCTGGAAGTAGATAAGCAGATTTCGCTCAGTTGATCGCCGCTTCAGGTAGTTCCTCATACTCTCGCAACCGCTCTCTTAATGCTGATACAAAAAATCCGATATGTTTCTACGGGTAGAGTTTCAGCGCACCTTTATGGCTACACTCATCAACAGAAAAATTCCCACGAGAAATGAAAGTTGAAAAAACATTCCATAAAAAAAAAATTCTTCATATTTATAAATTATCATTCCAATGTTCGTCTAATTGTAAAATTTTCAGTTTTATTTGATAAGTTTCGGTCTAAATATGCGTTTTCCCTTTCAACTACATCTATTTGTTCAAGATGGAATGCAAGTCTGGACGAGTCTATGAAATGTTTTAATTAAACTTTCATTCTACTACAAAAAATATCTTCTAATTTAGATTGGATTAACATATTTATGACTGGAAATCCTTACTTAGAATAATAGTCCAATTAAAATATTTCATAAACTCATCCAAACTTTCATTCCATCTCTAGCATCCAGTTCAAATAAGAAGGGATAACTCATTATTGGAAGGAAAGTTTTCAAGTACGACGAAAATTTTTAAAATTGGAATGACATTTTTTAACATGGAATGAAAATTTGAAATTAAGAATGTAATTTTATTATAGAATGATTATTTAATTCTGGAAAATTTTTCTGTTGATTGCAGTGATTTTTTTTTTTTTCCTCTTT